TGAAAGTATAAAGCTATCCATATATAAGTTTGATGTCTATATAAAATATTACATTATTATTTAATATCAGTTTGTTAAGAGGGAAGATAATTTTCATTGCATTTCATACCCATATACTTAAGGAAAGGGGAAAACAGAAACCTCCTATGAAATGGAGGCACTTTGGCTTGGTCAGGGAGGTCCTCCAGTCTAATTAGCATATTGCACTTTTATTATTGTAGATTATGAAGACAGGCACAATTTAAGGGCATACCTAAAAATATTATTCACTTTTAGTAAAATCAAGTGATTCTAGAACTGCATAGATTTCTTATGGCTGCTAAATGTATTCCCACAATTGAAGACTGTCTATCTCAATCCTCTATTGTGATTCAATCGCTTTGAGTACTCTTAATTGTAACCACCAAAGAAAAAACTGTACCTTTATTGGGGTGTAACAGGTTCAAATGCTTGTTCTGTATGACACCATCTTTTTCAAGCCTGCATTGTTGCCAAGGCTTCGCTCAAGTATCTCCTGCTTTAGACATTTATTTTTTATTTTTATAATATAGTTTATTGATTTTGTACAGAGAGGAAGAGAGAGGAATAGTTAGAAACATCGATGAGAGAGAAACATCGATCAGCTGCCTCTTGCACACCCCCACTGAGGATTTGCCTGCAACCAAGGTACATGCTCTTTGACCAGAATCGAACCTGTGACCCTTCAGTCCGCAAGCCAAAGCTCTATTCACCCAGCCAAACCAGTTTCGGCTCCTGCTTTAGACATCTTAATCATTACAGAAACTCTGCTGGAGTTTGAGTTTTTATAAAAACAGTCCCTCTCATTTTCCCTTTGCCTGACATAATAAAAGCCTAAATTTTTTACTTTCTTAAGATGAATTTAAAGAACTACATACTAGGGCTTCTCAGTTGGTGACTTTGTGATCAACAAAATTTTCCTTGCTCCGAACTCTGACATTTTGGCTTTGTCCTTGCAGAGCTTCGGGCACACAGACTTCAGACTGATACAGACTCGTGGGCAGACTGGCTCACTTATACCCAGAAAATGTTTGGAGACGGATGTCCTGTAGTGACTCATGTTGGATCACCCTTATTTAAATTAGCTCTGATTTTAATGCTTCTTTAAAGTAGAAACAAAAAGGAGGCTGATTTTTTTTTTCTCTAACAATGCCATAGAATTATATTCAAAATGCCGACCTCAGCAGTCCTGCCCTGTAAACATGGCCCACTTTGAGAGTGTGTTCCACTTCTGCTCATATTAAACTTGGGTTATTCATACTGGTTCACTTCTCTCACTGGTTTATTTTCCATTATTATTTTTTTTCTTTTTTCCATTAAGTTTTAAACATTTGACATGTGCAGAAAATATTTGAATGTGGTTTAAATCTTCCCTCCCTCAGCTAATTCAGAAACTATGAGAATTGTGAAAATTTATTGTATAATTCAAAGCTCATGCTGCATTTTGGGGGGGTGGAGGAAAGAACAAGATTAATGAAAGCAAACTCTTTGTTTTTTGAGGAAAAATGAAGCCTACTGAGAGATGTTTCTAAATGGTGCATAACTGTTTTATGAATCAAGCAGAATGAGGTGGTGTAGGGTTATAAAACAATTAATGTTATGTTGTTTATTGGGCCTAGAGTAGTGAAATAAGAGTTCAGAGCTAACAACATTTCATCATTGAAACTAGCAGAGAACAAGAACCTATTTATCACTGAGCTCTAGCTTCAAGTACAATTTATGGCTGGAAGTTTTTGTTGCTGTTATGCTGATAGAACAAATAAAATGTGTGAAGAATTAATTTTCTGAAAGTCAGGTCAACAATGAAGACATTCAAAAAGGATAGGACAAAGCCCAAAACAGAAAAGACACTGCTTTAATGCTTAGTCACATTGATGAACTGTATTATCAAATTAAGTTAATCCATTCAGTAGTAATTTAAACCTCTCTTCTAATTTTCAGTGGGTAAATAAAATGTAAGTCACTGGACATAAAAAAAAAGACTTTTAAGTGTATATTCATTAGCTTATAGTGTACAACATATAATGACTGATTTCATTTACAGTAGGCAGTGTACTTGAGTCAATTACCAGAAGCATCAAAAGAAACGGAAGCCTACTCAACATTAAATGGATATAGCAGACACTACTAATTATGAGAACATTTTAATATTTACAAGACTTTATTATTCTTGGGGCAGAGAATATAAGCATTCACATTACACATTTTTATGGCAGGACTGAAAACACTTTTATGTTAAAATCAGAAATAAGAACAACACTTTGGGAGAAAAGAAATTAAGAAAAAAATCATAAAACATAATACCTTATTGTACATACAATGGTGCGAAGTTTATGACCTGAACTACGAAGTAATTGTGTATCCAACTCCCTACCTAAATGTGATGGGTTGAAAAGCTTGAGCTTATAGTGGTAAAAGAGATTTTTGGAGCAAGACAAAAATGTGTTAAATGCTACCAAATCTAGTTTTTAAGTCTCTATAACTAGATTTTATGTTATACGGTAGTATAATTTGACAAAGTGATAATAGACTTCAGTGAGAAGAGAACCAAATTATAGTGGCTCTGAATAGAAAATCTCATTTGAAGATTCAACTACTCTCCTGTTTAGCTAGAGTATTATACTTTAATGAGAAACAGGCACTCAGATGCCAATCAGCCAGTCTAGACACTATTTCAATATTGTGTGACCAGATGAGAACTCTAAATTTGATTCTCATGTCCTGCGAATTAATATTCAACATTCATGGTGGAATGGACCTCTGGAAATGTCCCCAGTCCTGCTCCGAGGGAAAGGTAACACGATTTCTGCCTCTGGTCTTTCGCACTCTCACTCACAGATGCCTCGATCCCAATGCATTTCTAAACTTGGAATTCGCTTGCTTAACTTGCATCGGTGGGTCCCCATGACTCCCAAGATGCAGTTTAAAATCCTTCACATTCTCCGCAAAGTCCTTCATCATACGTCCCCACTTAATTCTCACGTTTAACCTTCTATCTGTATACAGAGATGGTACTGAAATATTTAAACTGGTAAAGCAGCGGCATGAAGCTACCAAGAGGGAGCCAGCGCAAGGCCTGCGCTGTGCCAGACATTTTCTTTCTGGATTTGGATCTAGGGTGGCTGGAGGGTTTCTGGATCAGGCTGGAAGTACAAGACGGGCTCAGGGTAAAGACTATCACTCTTTCCTCTCCCAACCTCTTTCTGGATTCTAGTCCCATCAATAATCTAAGTAGCAAGTGTGCTACACAACTCCTCCTGGTCATTGGGATGTTCACACCGCAGTTTCCACTGCCCGAAAACCTCCCCTGTCCCCTAACATTTCCATCTGGCTAGATATCACACACCTTTCGGGTCTCCAAATAAGTGTTACTTGATCTTAATCACATTCTGAATTACATTCTTTTTTCCCAGTTATTTTCTCATATACTGCCCCTGTATTTTGCTGCTACAAAACAAGCTAATCTTAGTACATAGTCTATCTATAGGGGTGTTGAACTCAATCAGAGAAGGGGCCAAAATCTAAAATCCAGCCTAAATCGCGGGCCGAATGGTTTACTGAACAGTCATAAACTGTCTTTGTGATGGAAACGCAGCGGAGTGCAGTGATGACAGCGTGGTGCGGGCCACATTGCAAGGCCTGGCGGGACGGATTTGGCCCGCGGGCCTTGTGTTTGACACATGTGATCTAATAAAAGGGTGATATGCAAATTAACCATCGCTCCGTCACAAAGATGGTGGCACCCAGTCCTCAGAGTCCCACAGTCGGGGAGGGGGTGGGGAGGAAGTGTGCGGCCTGGCGAAATGCTTGCTTCATCACTGCAGCGATGAGGCGAGTGTTCCCCCCGCCCCCCCAGCTGCGGAGGGCCTCTGGGCAGCAAGAATGGAGCCGCCGAGGGAGTGTGAGGGGTGCGCTTGCATCGTCGCCCTGGCGATGAGGCCGCCCTTCTGCACCTGGTGCGGATAGGCCTCTGGCCAGGCCGGGCACTGGATGGGCCTCTGGGCTGTGGAGAGCCTCTGGGCAGTGGGCGCAGAGCAGCCAGGCCCCACAGAGAGCTACTGATTCATGTGCAGGGCTACCAGTCTATAAAAATAAAAGCATCCTATGCTAATCAGACTGGACAGCCGAACGACCTTCTGGACATCCTTCCGGGTGAAGCCGGGGCTGCGAGGGCCGAGGCAAGCTGCCGCGGCTGTGAGGGCCAAGCCCCTTGCCTGAATTTCACGCACAGGGCCTCCAGTTATTCAAATAACTAATATTTAGCCTCATTCTCTGACTTTAAACCAATGTTTATTGTATTGTGGAATTCAAACCACCTGGAATCAGTTAAAAATGCCAGTTCTGGGTCTTCTCTTTAACTAGTTGAACTGATTCTTTTTGCTAAGGCTCAAGCTCCAAGAGTTTAATATTCTTGGCGATTCTTCTGCAAGTTACAATTTGAGAAGTACACTGTGAAGATAGCACTTAAGCACACTTTGTTTACTGCATCCCCAGCATCCAGCACCGAACCATGCACTAGGGATTTGAAACATTGTTGAATGGATGAACGTACATCATTATTAGTTCATTTATATGAGTTTATTTTCAGGTGTTAGTTTGGTAACTTAGATAATAGGTAATAAGCTGGGAATTGAATTATAACTATGTTATAATAAAATGGTTTTTTAAGGAAAACGAAAACATTAAAGCATAGGAATACATTGAGTACAAGTGCTCATTTGGTCTGAAATCTTGAAAATTACTCTACTGATCTACCTGAGATAGGTCTAGATTGGTGCTGTTTCGAGAGAACCTCAATCCACCCCAGAAGTTACATTCTAGTTTTTGTTACAAATGGTCCTTCCCAACCTCAGATCATGCTATATGGATAATACCAACATCTTTTCCCCTTGGCTTAAAGGCCATGGGCCTGTTCCATACCCACAAAGTTCGGTGTTTGAGGAATGGTCCATTCTTAATTTACTTGAAGACTGGAAACCAGGGAGATTAGCTGAAAGCAGGCTTAAGTCATTGCCTTGCTAAATGATACCCGCTCTGTCCCCTTCTGTAACTTCTCTCTAATGACTAGCAAGTAGCTATAGACTCATTTTTGTCACCATCATGCCATATACTCATACTATTTAAGTGTTACAATTATCAAGCACATACTACAGATAGGCAAGATTTTCACCAAAGAAAAAACAAATACATGTTGTGTGTTGTTCCACACTGGGCAACTTTTCATGCTATCAAAGCTATTTATGAAAATTATATCTCAGGTTCTGTTTCCTAAAAGAAAAAAACACCCTAGAATCAGATTTTTTACTATCTCTATGAGCTATATCCACTGACCCTAAGATTATCAACACCATCAGCCCAGTCATTATGATCACATCTTAGAACCACACACCAAGTAGCCGCTGGCCAATGCACCTGGAGTTTAGGGGTTTGCTGAGATTAACCAGATCTACTAGAAAAAGGATAACAACAATATATTTAGTCAACAGTCTAGAGTCACAAATATGCAGAAATCTTGTGTTTTTATTAAATGCCCTTTAATCTGAGGGAAAATAAAACCCTCAGAAATTACAAGTATAGATCCCTGGATTAATGATAGTGCTTCTAGAGAATGTTAAATATAATAATTATTCTGTTAAACTGGAGATAAGGGCTTATTCTTAAACCTCTGATGAGTCTGGCTACTACTTTTCCCCTCTAGCATTTAGAATCTTACATCCCAAGCCAAATAAATACCTTCTATTGTGGTGATAGCAATCCTTTCCCTGGGAAAGAAGGCATTCCCTCGTTTCTTGGCAGAAATAAAACGTGTATGCTATATTGCAATAATCACTGGTGATGAATCCTTCAGTTACAGGGTTTTTCCTGCTTCAAGTTCCCTTTTGGGCAGATGCCAGTGAATAAGCTCTAATGACCTTGGCCAGTGTTGCATAGTTGGTTGGGCATTGCCCCATGCACCAAAATGGTTGCCAGTTCGATTCCCGGCCAGGGAACATTCCTCGGTTGTGGGCTCAATTCCCAGTTTGGGGCATGCAGAAGCAGTGGTCAATGTTTGGCTCTCGCATCAATGTTTCTCTCCCCCTCTCCCCTCCTCTCTCTCTAAAAAATAAATTTAAAAAAATAATAAGCTCTAATTTGTTGGTCAGTATTAATCTGTGCCTTCCCACGTGTTCCTCCTCCTCCTCCTCTACCTCCTTCTCTTCCTTTTCTTCTTCATCTTTTTTGTTTCTATTTACTAATGTATTTTATATTTTCTTCCCTTATTAAGTCCTCAGTGTGTTAGATTTCTCTGGTTCCTGTTGGTACTCAAATGGATGATTTCAAACTTCTGTAGGCTCTCAAGTCTAAGTAAGTTAATAAAGTTAAAAAAATGTGAGTGGAAATAAAGCATTATAAATTTAAAGTACTATACTAATGGTGATTGGTGTCTTCATTACATTTTGGAAATGACTTTTTTATGCCTATAAATTGATACATGTCAAATAAGACAGCATCAAGTCTTTAATCAATTAAATTTTGGGGTAAAAAGATCTATATTTGCATTTCATAGGATGTTTTAAGTTTTAGTTAAGTTTTGAAGTTCAGTTAAGTTTCTGTATCAAGGCTTTATAAAATATAACTTAGCCCTGTCTGGTGGCATAGCAAAAGGTTGAGGGTTCCATCTTCATTCAAGGAACTCATCGGAGGCAACCAGTCAATGTTGCTCTCTCTCCACACCCCCTTTTTCTATCTCTAAAAAATCAATAAACATATTCCTGGGTGAGGATTTTTAAAATGTTACTTATTTTGAAATATATAGCCATAGTCTTTTGCAGATAAATCCATAAGTAGATTAAATGTATTTTTTTCATTCAGTAAACGTAGAGTACTTATGTATCCAGGTGTAAAGATGTGGAGTTTTTCTACTTCTGGGCATGTCGATGTTAAAATTATAGAATATCTATTAAATATAAAACCCTAAGATGCAAATAGACCAAACACAGAACAACTGAACAACTGGTCGCTATGGCATGTGCTGACTACCAGGTGGTGTGCATAGAACACAGTGAGCGCAGGTGAACAGGGGCCCCAGACCAATGTGGGGAGCCAGTCGCTGTCATTGGGGCAAGCCTCCGGTCGTTGCTGAAAATACTTTGCTTCTGCATGTTGTGGTCCCAGCGGTCGCACCTGCTGCTGGCGCTGGCCTTGCTCGCACCCACTGCTGGTGCTGAAGCCACTGCTGGAACCTGCTGCTGGCACCCAGCACCAGCCCCTATTGCTTGGCTCTGTCAGCGGGTGTGAGCAGAGGCTGCTGGCCCCAATCACTCCTCAGGCTTTCTCCACCTCCCCCTGCTCCTGAGAGGTGGCCAAGGCCAGCAGCCACCTCTTGCACCAACTGACAGCACTGGTCCCAATTGTTCCACGCTGTCAGCGGGTACAAGAGGGGCTGGTGCCATCAGCACATGGGAATGGCAGTGGCAGGAATGGGGTTGCCGACAGAGAGGGGACCGGGACACAGTGGGAGAGGCTGGGCAGGGGTGTGGAGAATGGGCTGAGACTCGCCCTTATGCCCACAGCAGCCTCGTGGCCCACAGTTCCTTTCAAGGTGCACGAATTTGTGCACTGGGCCCCTAGTTAGATTATAAAGAACTTTAGAGTCCTATTGTCTAAATGAGAGTTTCACAAATGTATGTGAGAAACGTAAGAGTTTGGCCAACTAAGAAGTAGCAGAAATGAGATGAGAAGCCGACTCCTGACACGCAGTGATATATACTCATATTATAGAACTCTCAAGATTGTCTATAGCCTACATCACTCATAGAGAATATGCATACTAAAGCTACTAAGGTTTCAAGACAAGTAACATGTAATTATTTTATTACTAGAGATTGCCAACTGTCAGCATCTTTTCAAGCAATAGATTCGCTTGGATGTTGTACTAGTATACAGTATTTCCGTTTTAAAGCTGCAAATGAACAAACAAACTATCTCACTTTCATATAGAGGAAAGTTGCCAGTAAAATAGATGATTTAAATCTTTTTATTTAGTTGACAGAGATGTGCTTCTTTTTATAAAAGGATGTGCTCCTCTTGACAAAAGTAAAGCCGACAGCAGGCCTTATTCAAAATAAGGTGCAGCTGACCCTTGAGTATCACAGTTGTTAGGGTTGCTAACACACTTGAAGTCAACAATCCAAGTATAACTTTAGACTCTTCCCAAACTCAACTACCCTCTGTATGCATGAAAGATTGGTTTCAGGGCCCCGCGGGGGTACCACAATCCATGGATGCTCAAGTCCCCTCTATACAATGATATAAAGCAATGAATACAGTAGCCCCCGGGACTTCCAACAGCAAATGGTAAAGCACGGTATTTACTGAAAAAGATTCACATAGAAATAGACCTGCACAGTTAAAACCTGTGTTGTTAAAGTATCAACTTTATATTTTAACTGAATTTGTAACAACATGTCCTTAACTATTGGGCATGTGAATTAAGATAGACTTTCCTTTTTATTGTTGTAAAGATTTGTCCTTGGCAAAACTGATATATGCTGTTGGGGTGAGGAATTTTACATCTATCTTATTAAGGACTCATACAAATAGAAAAGATTTTTTTCCTGTGGCTTCTAAAGGAAGAGTCCAAGATGGGGAAGATATATTAACCCACAAAGTTTTCAGTTGGAGAAGTTTATATTTGATGATAGTCAAAATGCCAAAAATATTGCAGAAAAAGGTCACAATAATTTTGAATACATTTTTACTTGTAATATTTTTTCTAAATATTTTAGTTATATTAAACAATATCTGGGAGATGTTTTGATGACAATATTATGACTAGCAGAAAAGAGTTCATCTACCCCTACATTTACATAACTTTAATGATGAAAAGAAAGCTATCGTGTTACTATATGAATATTTCATCACCATTGCAGAACTACAAAATACTATCTCTATTTCATTGCTCCACATTTTACATGTTAATTTTATGTGTTATATTAATGAAGGACATTGATGTTCATTTTGAATGACTGTAAGTCGTTTCAAAAATTTTTAAATTCAACATACACTTACCTGGATGCCTCAATGTGGTGGTGATTGAAAGAAATAGAAAAGAATCTCTAGGCTTATTTATAAATATAAAAATTGAAATGCCTATTTTATATAGTCATATGACTTCAAGTGCTGTAATAGTTCATGCTTGTGTTTATTTACACTCAAGATGTTAATACATGTTTTACTCAGAGGACACCCCATTAAATCACGGGGTTTGAGCGTGATTCTGACATGGCTATTGTAAAATTCAACTTAAAAACAAATCAGACATTACCTTTAAAGTGAATGAAATCTTTGATTAATTAATATTCTTGGCTTTAGTCATTTCTTATATCTGTAATCTAGTGAAAGGCAAAGTATTTTTGAGACTCACGATGTCAAGAGAAGGGCACCCACTGTTAATTTATACCTGTCATGACTTAATGTGTTACTGGAGACTGCCAAGTGTGAGAAAGCTCCTTTGATAAGAAATCATAAAATGGACACTCATGCCCCCTTGGGAAGTCATTCTTGGCTTTCCAGTATATGTGAGCAGAGGTTTGGAGGATGGTCCCAGAGGCTGCATGACTTCTTTTTATAGTAGTTAAAGAGGGAAAATTTGGCTATTGAATATCATCACTTACTTATCAAAATTGACATTTTCCTTGAAATAAGAATAAAGCAGCACATAATTTTCATATATTAAATTTTATTAATGCTTAAGAAAATAACAAAATTACATATATTTTTATATTGGTTGGACAAATGCCAAATTAGATAAGAATTAGTTTTTGTTTTGTTTTTTTACATTTTGGTCTTCTTATTAACAATAATTCAATAATAAGATAAACTCTATTGATTAGTACCACTTTGGTAAATTTTATAATTACCTAACCAATTATATTTGATTGCTTTAATACAAAAATTTTCATATGAGCATAGAGTGATGTAAATATTTATTGTAACATAATATAGTACATTCTAATATTATCCTATATAATAAAAGGTAATATGCAAACTGACTGTCACTCCACCACACAAGATGACCACCCCCATGTGGACACAAGATGACCACCACAAGATGGCCAGCAGGGAAGGGCAGTTGGGGGCTATCAGGTCTGCAGGGTAGGGCAGTTGGGGGGAGGAGGCCAGGTCAGCAGGGGAGGATAGTTAGGAGTGACCAGGCCTGCAGGGGAGGGCAGTTTTTTGGGGGGAAGGCATACAATGGAGGGCAGTTGGGG